ACATGCATATATTTAAATCTTCTGGTTTTGAAAGATTGAGGTTAGAAGCATTGTGTCATTGTGGTCTTCCAGTATTAAGGTTTGGTTCTAGTTAATCACAGACTTTCAGAATCGATCTATTAGTGTTGTAGCGCTTGAGTAATTTTAGTTTTGTAAGTAAGGAATCAATTATATGGAAAGACATGGCTGTAGCACTCAAAAGAGACCATTTAACACTGCATCCTGCTGTATTTATTTTATGATTCGTCAGATAGATATGCCAAAATACGTCTAAACCGCAGAGAATGTGTTGGGTGATACGGCATCTCTGAGCTCAGTTAAATAATTAGATGTGTTTTATTCAAATCAGAATAACATTAAGCCCTGAATACTAAGCAGAGCAGCAAAAAGCCTTCAGCACAGAAAATAAACAAGTAAAAAACCCGAATGAAACTGCTAAATACAGTGTGGAGCAACAGGCTGCATGTTCTAGAGGAATTAAGCCAATTTAAACTGTATGGGCAGTACTCCACTTTCAGATGTGCATGGCGTCCAGTGGTTTCAATGGCAGTTGGTTGCATGCATCAAAGGGCAAAGTCTGGCTCAGAGCACCTGCGTGGATTTGATAGCATAGGTTTATGACCTTGTAATCCTATAGCATCTAAAACAGTAAGAACTCTATCCAGCTTAAAATAGCTGCTGTAGTTGCTGTTGATACAAGCTTGTGGGCTCCCCAGCTCTGGGGCCAAATTTGGTGCTGGCAGGATAGGAGGAAGTCTGTTGACAGCTGATAGCAGTGGATTACATCATAACAAGTTTGACATGTGGACCTGAATCAGAAGTCTAAGCAGAAGTGACCATTCCTTATCCAGATTTAAAACTGGGACTTTCACTTTGCAAATCCATGACGATTTGTCTGGTCCATGTTGCTTTTAAGGGTCTTGCTGCAAACATATGTTCAACCCCCACTTCCACTCAGCATGGTGACTATAAAAAAACCCACAAAGGTCTGGGTTTTCCTCTTGCATCCAAAGGATGAAGTCCCTAATCTTGCCAGTATAAGCGCAACGAGAACAAGCCCCATGGTAGCTGACTCACAGGGCTGTGTCTGGGCTGCAGCAGAGAGTGGGAACAGAAAGGTGCTCTTAACTCTTAATTGCTAGGGTTGTCCAGTGGCCAAGTGTGCTCGATATCAAGCAGACAACTCTGTGGATACTGTCCTTCAGAGGTATCAGGCCCCTGTGCACCGGTCTACCTTCTGGCAGCTGCTGTGTAAATGAGCTGCAGCTGTGTCCCCTTCTCCCTACCTGGATCTTTATACTTTAAGACTCAGAGTGGAGGTCTTACTGATATTCCAAGTCCTCCCTCAAAGTATTTCAAGAAATTGTATGATTGTATTTTAGTTTTGGCTGCTGCAAAAACTGTCACAAGCATGTGCCTTGTTTTTATTAAAATGCTAAATTGCTGAAGTGATTTTTATGAAAATTAATTAAAACAAATTAATGAAAAGCAGCTGAAAAATTGATTCCTCTGCTGAAACTGTGGTATGCAGACTCTTAACCTCAATCACATTTTTGTGGTTCCTCTATAAACACCTAAGTGTATAATAGTGGTTTGTCATGGAACTTTTTTGATGGAAATTCTTAGAAAGTAAGGCTATACTACATAATACATTTTCTCTCCATTTACATACAACTTGTTATAATGCATATGTTCTTACCTGCTCCTTTTAGTAGTATTGCTAATCTGTAGCTTAATGTTTTCTCTTCATTATCAGGAAAGAAAGGAAAAGATGCTATCAGGCTCAGGGTTTCTCCATCATGTTTTCTGCTTGTAGGGGACAGGAGAGCAGGAGTCTTTATTACAGAACTAATACCAGCCTTGGGCATGGTTGTGCACTGCAGAATGCAGTGGCTGTGGAGGAGCTGTCCTCTTTGGCAAACTGGATCCATCTGGGATCTTTGGATCATCTGGAGATGTGTTGGGTAGGTTTTGCATATGGCTCAGGCAGGTGTGATAGATGTATGAGTGGGTGACCTGCCTGGTGGGAATAAGACCACACTTGTGCATAACTGAGTACAGCAAAGCAGCAGTTAGCCCCTGCTGTACAATAAACATAACACTTGCAGTGCATTCTAGAAGAGATCTATGTATTAGTTTATTGTGCATATTTATTATTATTTTATTTGTATTTTATGTACCCTTTCCTTGCAAGATATGGCAGGTTTTAGTTTGTTTTATTATCAGAAACTCTGATAGTATGTTGAAGGTCATGTTATTAAAAGTAATAGTTGTATAGACTGGAGGACAAATCTGGGGAGGTTTAGTGGGCCTAGTAAAGAATGCCTTACAGAACATTCAGCCTTGAAAGGTCCACTCAGTGTCCCTGGAGAAGTGTCAGTGAGTTGTGCCAGTGGGTCACACCTGAGGGAGGGAAGCCAAAAGCTTTCCACACTGTCCTTTACTAGGAAAATGAGCTGACTGCTTCCTCAAGCAAAGCGTCCAGCCCTTTGGGATAGGACTGCTCAGTGAAGCCAGTTGGCTTGAACAGATTTCTTACTATGCTCCCTCTTGGGATTGATGTGGAAAAAGAACCCAAATAACATTTTCTGCCCAGGAATCTTTGTGCAGAAGTCCTTCATGAACTAAACATTTCAGAACAGAGAGACCTGCACATGAAAGTTTTCTATCCACTGACGTCTTTATGCTCATAACCATGGTTAATAAAACCAACAGTGATTTTCTCTAAGGAGTGCTATCAGTTAAAAAATATGCCATTAAGTGTAAACAGTTCGTGAGATTGTACATGTTAGACCAAATTCATCCTTGCTATAACTCCTCAGAACTCAATGGATTTACATAAGGGATTAATTTGGTCTATTGCTCTTAGCCATCAGTTTTAGAGGATATACAACAATCGAGGGGACTATTTTATGACTCTTTAGAGCTGCTCAATATATGTATTTTACAGATAAAAAAGCAGGGTGAGTGTGTGAAGTTAGTGTTTCTGTACTGAAGGTAGTGGTTTTCTCAAATTTACTTTTGTACATTTAAAAGTAAGCATTCTAACAGCCATTATTGCTATGAATCGCACATAGAGTGCTTTCATAGAGGCTGCTCTTGAAACGTGCACAGGCATTTCATCTGGCAGAGCACAAAATATTTCACGAAGCATAGAAAATATTTGGAAAGTTTTAAGTACTGTTATCACATCAACTGACTAATTATTGCAGTGTTCATGTGAAACTTAGCTGTACTTACTGCACACAGGGAGTTAAGACAGAGAGGTAAAACTTTTTCAAAAGCTAACTGAGGAGGCACTCAAGGGGCCAGGAACAAAGCACAAGATCTCTACTGTCACTTTCTCCTTTGCCGTTTTCTCCAAACCTGAATTGCATCTGTAATTTTCAGAATAAACTGAGCAAAGCTTCAGCTAGTAAATCTGAAACGTTAGATGTTGAATCTGCATCTGCACATAAATCATATATTTCAGTTCATGTCAGAAGGTGCATACAGCTACATGAATCTTTAGGACACATGTAGAATAGTTATTTAAGTCTGAACTGTAACAGTTGTGTTAATAACCAGTTCTGTTAAAGGTCTGTACACTGGAAAATGAGTGGTCAGAACAGCATTACTTACTTGTTACACATAGAATCATAGAATCAGCAAAGTTGGAAAAGTCCTTCAAGATCATCAGGTCCAACCATTCCCAAGCACTGCCAAGCTCACCCCTAAATTATGTCACTAAGGGCCTCGTGTACAGGGTTTGTGAATGCTTCAGGGATGGGGATTCCACCACTGCCCTGGGCAGCCTGTTCCAAAGCCTAAGAAAATTGCTAAAGAAAAAAGCAAAACCATGTCTTGAGTTGTCTTCTAAAAGGCTTTCCCCATAAGGTGGCAAAACTCTTCCCTGATTTGGTAAGTCAGGTTTGTACTGATTTCTTGGTCACAAAACAGGGTACCGGCTTGTCTGATCACCAGAGTGGCAACCCTCCCTGCACAGTACTCTGTGTTCTTCCATAGTGGTAGGATTAGTGTGTTGGCTTGTTTGTATTTATGCTCTTCTCTTATACAGAGGCATGTTTGGCCAGTGAAGCAAGGAGTTTGTCTTTGCAACCTATGAGGTTAGCAGAGGGATGAACTGTAAAAGTGTAGAACCTGTACAGTACAGAACTAGTGGCAGGACTGTTTCAATGCTTCTCTGGATCAATCTGTCCCTCTGTTCTCAGAACATGTATTACAAGAATATTGTTTTTTTGCAGCATTAGGGGACTTTGGCTAAGTAGGAAATATGAGTCCATATTTCCTGACAACTGTGGGCATCTCCAGACTGTGGGATCTTGGATTACTTCGTCATTCCTGTGTCCAAGTTCTATCTCAGCCTATATCTGGACTCCACACTAAGGCAGTACTTTCGAGGGTTCATCATTTTACATCTGTGTCTTGCTACTGTGGTATCTGCTAAAGAAAGGCCAAAAACACAGGCCAGAAGCATCCTGCAGTCTGCTCCAGCTGGTCTCTGACCTGAGCAATGGAGATAGCCATGTGCTGCAAATAGTTCTATCAGTCTGGCAGCTCCTGTGTGGATATATAGCCAGACCCAGCTCCTCTCAAGTAGCTAAACTTGAAGTATCTCCGGAGCAAGGGTGACACAGCTGAAAGCAATAATCATTTCCCTCAGCTAAGATGATTCATTAGTGTTAAAATGTCAAGACTATTAAAATGCAACTGAGCCTTTCAAAATTTGAGGACAATGGGCCTTATCCTGGAAAAGACTTGAGGAAATTGTGTTGATTCGAGTACCATTATCCATGAAAAATATACAAGTAAAGGTTTGTTGGGTGGGCCTCCTTTTTTTGTTAGCTATATTTTATTACTTTAATTATACCTAATGGCTTACCTAATAGAGTCATGTTCTTATAAAGAAATTAAGACAATTAATGCTACTTTTAGCAAGAGTGAAATAGTAAGGAAAATTGAATTGAAATTTGACCAAGCTCTCCTCTTTTATTTCCTAGTATCTGAATTACAGGAAGAAGGAATAAATGCCATTAACTTACCTCTCAGTCCAATTCCATTTGAACTAGACCCTGAGGACACTATGCTAGGTAATTCACAACGATTTTACGTCTCAACATAAAAGCTTGATGTAAAATAAAGTTTCATGCCTGTAATAGTTTCTAATATCTTTCTTTAAAACCCTCCAGAGGAAAATGAAGTCCGAACAATGGTAGATCCAAATTCAAGAAATGATCCAAAATTACAAGAACTAATGAAGGTAACGAAAAGCATGTAAACACTTTCAAGAAAGTTAAGCTGTTTTTAATGCTATCCCTGACTCTTTCGTTTGAACACTTCAAAGTATTGTTTAAATACTAATTAAATGAATCCAGGTCGTGCATGCATCCCAGTGAAATGGGAAGGTCATTTGCTGAAGTATCTTTCTCTAGATATGGCACATGGATACTTAAGGATTTGAATTAAAATCCTGAGTTTTTAGTCCCATCCCACCCCCAATCCTATGGTAACCCTGACCTCCCTTGTAGTCTTTGTGATTCTTGGGTCAGAACTTTAGCAGGAAGCTCAATAACAACTGACTTCAACACCTTTGGATTCGCAATAAAATGTTAAAATACTAGTGAAAGCAAGGGACAGATTTCACTCCAGAAGGCATTGCATCAAGTTGGTGTTTGTCTAGATATTGTGGTGCATTGACACAGCTACCTTGAAAGAGTCCTTCCTAAGTCCTTCCTATTTTCTTCTGGTGGTATTTCAGACTTGATTGTATTTTGAGCCAGCTTTGGTGTTCTTTCTGCTAAATATTTTCATCATTGTAAAAAATGACATGTGTTTTAAATTGCAAATGAATAGTGTGTAATACTGCCAAATTTGTGTTTCCCATATAGGTATTAATTGACTGGATTAATGATGTGTTGGTAGGAGAGAGGATTATTGTGAAAGACTTGGCTGAAGACCTGTATGATGGACAAGTACTGCAGAAATTATTTGGTAAGAAAAAATCTATGTGCATGCTGTTGGGGCATTCTGTCAGTAAGTGGATCACTTGTTTCTACATAGGAGCCTTGGTTTCATCTTACATTTATGCCACTAAGTGATATAAAAATAGTGTTGTATTATGAGACCCTTGAGCAATAGGCTGTATGCACAGTCCTTATAGCTACAGTGCAATGTGTGGTGCTCTGTAGTTGATGAGAAGAGCATAAAGCCTACCTGGGGTGCTAGAGAGGGAGGGTTCTTGTCTTGGCAACAGTATTCACTCCAATTAAATTTATTATCTGCATATGTGCTGTGCAAACTTAACCATGTTAGAAGTGGAAAGTAAGTTTCAAGGCAAGAGTATTTCCAGTACAACGGTGGATGTTTTTAATCTCTGCTGGTTCCATACTGTAGTTTATTCACATTGTGAAGTTCCTTTGGAAAGTTGGAATTTCTTTCTGATTTGATGTCTGGCTTTTAACATTACTGAGGTAATGGTACCCAGTGGACTGCAAACTGAGCTTCAGCTGAGAAACAGATAGAGAAGAGAAACTGCTAATGCAGAGCTGGCATGTGCTTTTTGAACTGTTGGCTTAGAAGCCATTTTCTTAGTTATTACAGCTCATAAAGTCTCCAGTAAATTTCTTCTCAGTATCTCAAATGAATCTTGAAACATCATGTGAACACTTCTAATAAAGAGTACACAGACTTCTATGAATGGTTAAGCTATTGAATATATTGCGATGGACTGGATATGCCTCAGGCTGAGCAATTTGATTCTCATGGGCAGACCTCCAGTGACTTCAGTCAAACCCAAAAAAACACGTATCAGATGCAGCCTGACTCTAAATATGCTTATACTGATCCAGCACTTACTGATTTCAGTGGAATCTTTTCCGTTACTGTTAATTCCTTATGGATCAGGTCTATGCTAACTGAAGACTTCGGTTTTGTGAGACTATGCACAGATTGATTTTTGTGGAGGCACAAGAAACCCATGGAGATAGGATCTCAGGCAGGATTCACAAGCTGGTAGCTCGGGCTCTTTGGGAAGATACTCACTTGGCTTCAATGAGAACAAGATTGGCTCTTACTGAATAAGATACCTGTTAATAAGATATTCCTTCATAGAAGTAAATTGATAGGTGGCCAAGCATTTTGTTTCTGTTGTTGTGATCAGGGAGCATTTATTGCTAAATTATCTTTGCTTGTTATTTAATGGCAAACACTAAGCCATGTACATATATACCTAGCAATTTGTGCTAATTAGTAACAAACTGATTCATGAAGTATTTTTAGTCTTCTGCAAATTTTGAGTGCAGAAAAGAGCTGTGGTTTTATAGAAAGAAACTGTCAGAGGTTTTAGTTATTTTCATACCTCCAGAAATACTTGTTCACATTTCTTTCATGCATCCTCCACGTCTCTGAATGTGGTGTTTCTTCACTTTTATCACAAAAAGGCTGAGTACAATTTTTAAATCTCCTGAGTCTGAGGGAGAAGCCAGAAGAGTGAGACCAATGAAACAAATCTTGAAGGTAGTGTTTCTTTTGTAGGTTTGATGGTCTGCTGTACAAGCTGCTTGTATGCAGAATGTCCTTTATCCAGTAGCAGTAGAAGTAATGGGCCTTACTTCACAGTCTGGTGTTCCCAAAAGGGAATTGCAGAAAATACTTGTTAGTCCGTAGTGTGGTTTTAATTAATACTTGGCCTTCCCCTTGGCAATGGGTAAATAAAGGGAAAATGCGAACTGTATCTTTAGGATAGGAGCTTAGAAGTAGGGAGGTAGGGAAGTGGCTATGGAAGGAAAACCAGATAATTTTAAAACTAGGAAGTCCACTATCTCGTGAATGTATATCTGGATGCATAGGATGTCTTTGTGTTCTTCAGGGTTTTTCTTCTGTTTTTATATCTATTATCACTTCAGAAAAACTTGAAAGTGAGAAGCTGAACGTTGCTGAAGTTACTCAGTCTGAAATTGCTCAGAAGCAGAAGCTACAGACAGTACTTGAAAAGATCAACGAAACCCTTAAACTGCCTCCAAGAAGCATTAAATGGAATGTTGACTGTAAGTTGCATGTTTTCTATGCTGTTCTTGTTTGTTGACAGCTGATTGTTTATAGCTGCTATCTGGAATTACAAAATATCCAATGATAAGGGAAGGCTGAAACCTGGTATTTATTGTAGGAGCTGCCCTGCAGGGCACTTCAAGCTGTGTTACACTCTACTCTCTTTACTGGTCATCAACCTCCAATTTAAATAAAGTGTCTTCAGAGTCTGTCAAAGTATGGTATTTCTGCTGTTAAATCCATATGCATACCAGATTAAGTTTTCTGTTACTAAATTGTTGAAATAGGCAAGTACCTGCATAAATGTAGTAGATAGGCAGAGGGAGAGTTAGGTCCTAGGACTTATTTGTGTAACATTTGCAGCATAGATGTGAATAATATTTCTGATCGTTTAAGGCTAAATTTGAACCACCAGTTTTTATTACAAAACTCTCATTAGGATTAGGACCATATCCTTCCTGTTTTATTGTATTAAAAATGAATATAGCTATATCTAATAGAAATGCCCTCTGTGGCCCAACACAGGACATTTTTACTGCATATGTGTTGCAGAAAGCAGGTTATCATCAAGTCTAGAAAATTAGACCTCTAAATCTGTTTTAAGTTTGGTATCCAGAATCATTTCACACCAGTGAATACCTTCACCAGTATATAGCAGTTTCCCAGTCTCCTATACCTGTCTACCACATCTGGGCTGTGTGGTATCCTGTTCAATTTCCAACAAATTAGTGAGAAGGAGAGAAATAGCTCTAGGGAGGAAGAGTGAATGTTAGGCATCTCTGACTTTACCCTTCATGTGGTCCTACTGGATTTTCTGTCCCCATCTCTCTTCAACTTCCCCCCAGGTTTTTTCCATTCTCTGTCATGCAGCGTGAGGCAGGGTGTTTGGAGAGGCTTGACAATTTAACTTCTAGTTTTAATTTAATATTTTACATGTGTTTTAGAGCTAAAGTAAGAGATAGCAGCAGTTGGAGCCAGCTGTAGCACACACCAGTTTTATGCAGACAGACATCTTTCTAGTGTTCCACTAAAGCACCTTATCCTTGACCACTGGCATGGCAGCAAAATTTGACAGTGATACCGCATTTTAGATGAGTGGGTATCATCTCCATGTGGCATAGTTGGGACTTGCACTGGAAGATAATGAAGAAGGATGTTTCAGTTAGTCTGATCCTACTTTACAGTGTAGTAAGGTAGTAGTTGGTTAGCTCAAATACACGAAGCCTAAGTGAGCTGTACTGTAGCTGTCAAAGATCATTCAGGAATACTGCTCTGGGAAAAGACTATGAATGCAAAAACAAATTAAAAAAAGAAGAAAGGCAATTATAAAAATTAGGAATGATTCACTTACAGATACTTATGGATTTCCTGCATATGGCTTTTGATATCTTGTAAGTTGTGTTAGTGTTAACTGCGCATATGAAACCTGCTGTGAAAAAGCTTCAATAACAAGAACTGTAACAACTTCATGAGGAATGTTTGAGTCATTGAGTTTAGTAAGTTATTGCTTAAGGCTTCTGCCAAAATAGGCTCATTTATCATCCTGCAGACATTGTGACACTTAAAAATGAGTAAGTGCATGTTATGAGTACAAAAATATCTTTCTGATAGTCCATAAATCCTTATTGAAATAAAGGGAATAAAGGAAAGGCAAGGAGAATGCAGAGGCAGCACTTAAACTGCTGTACATGAAATCTGGTTTTTGGATTAGCTTTAGATTTCCATCTACACGAGCCTGTGGCGTCCAGGCATATTGCAAAAAGTAACGCTGACACTTATTACTGACTGGGCTGCATTCGCATGACCTGTTGAGCATGAGGGGACCAGTAAAGGTGAGGTGCATTAAAAGTGCCCCAAGGCTCCAGGTGGCAGGAGGAGAAGAGTCCCATAATCCCTACATCCTAAATGGTAAAAATATATGCCCTAGTTACTTTACAGTTTGTAACTTGTGCTTTTAATATCTATTTCAGCTGTTCATGCTAAAAGCCTCGTAGCAATACTTCATCTTCTGGTTGCATTATCACAGTATTTTCGAGCACCAATCCGACTCCCAGATCATGTGTCCATTCAGGTGGTTGTTGTGCAGGTAAGAGAGGTGTTGACCAGCTGTTGGTAGTGTTGCGAAATTGTCGGGTTTCTTCAAAAATACATACAGAGTTTCTGTTTGGGCAGGCATGTGTGTGTCTATTTGGCTGACAAGAAAGCGTCTTCCCTGCTGGACAATGCTTCAACCAGGAAAATGCAGAAGTGCTTTCCCAGATTGAGCTGTGGCTCAGAATATCTTATTTAGATTGTGAAGTGGCCAGACTCTGACATTAAAAGTATATGAAGCATTGTTATTGTTGGAATGTGTTTATCACTCAATATGATCTCTAGAATTATTATTTTTTCCCATTTTTGATGGTCTTCTCACTTGTGTAGAGATTCAAATCAATTTTGGCACTGAATGATGAATTGTCACTGTTTATTACATTCAGATTCATGTTAGGTGACTAAATACTCTTTTTCAGCCTTGTGCATGCTAATTTAGTCTGATTACAATGTTGGCTTTCTCATAAGCATGCAAAAACCCCCCATCAGCTAAATCTTTTGTGTCAGTCAGACTCCTTATTAAGAGCCTCATCCATCCAAACTCTTCATATTCTGTTAGAATTTTTCTTTCACTTGGACTTGTGCTTGCTCTATCTTATTTGGCCTCTTCCCATTTAATTTGTTTTTCTTTCTGTCCTACTAGCTATGCCTTTATTTTTCACACTGCAACTGTCTTTATGTGTTTTAACTGATGTTACCCTGAAGTATCTGATGCAAAGAGCTATTGCTCAAGTTCTGTGTGACTGAAAATCTGTGGGACAGATCTGAGAAAGTAACCTTCTTCCAGCATTCAAATAAGACAGTTCTGTAATTTGAGGAGAAATCTGAAGGAGAGTCTCAGTAGATGTGTCACTGATGCCTGATAATGACTCATTGATTCTCAAATTCTGCTTCATGGGTTTCTCTACAGACAATGAAAAAGAACCATAGCAGATCTGCACTTATTTGTTTAAGGCTTCAGAGGAACATAATTTTCAAGCACTTTCCTTTGGCTATTATAAATATATTAATTACACTGGATTATTTCAAAGTTCTACCAAAACCAGCTTAAGAAATCTGTGAGTACAGTGGCAGAGCATCTTTGGGTTAAAAAAACAAACTAGAAAAAGAAAACCATTCTAAAATAAAGAACCAGTCTTGCATTTTGCTGTCACTCTGTACGTCCAGACAAAATTCCCGTTGAAATCAATGGATGTAATTGTCCTTCTGTTTAATAGACTAATGTAGTTCAACAGCAAATCCACTGAAGTCACTACAGATAAACTGATTTAAAAACAGTAAGTAGTGGGAGAATCTGGCTGTCTGCTTTGCGTCTGAGCTATGCAGCTGTAGCTCAGGTGCCGGTGAGAGAAAGCAGTAGTACTGGGATAAAATGTTGCAGGAGATTTCATCCTACAGTCCCTGTCCTTGGTGAAAGCTGGTCAGTGGAACCTCAAGGCTATGCTGATTCCTATAAACAGGGAAGGGTGGGGTGAAAGGCAGTATTTTTACTGTAATTGTGTTTGAGGCAATTTTTATTTTATGGTGTATGGTTTTTTGTTTTAAATGTTTTTCATGTCCTGTGGGATGGGTTCTGTGTAATTCATCGCGTGCCCTCTGAACTTGGTGAAAGTTTTAATCAACAAGCAGCCTAATTTAGATCCTAAAGCCTAATTTAGTGTTCAGACTTGCACACCTTGTGTTCTAAACCCTCATATATTCTTTAAAGTCAGGTCATGCCTAGGGAAACTTAACAGATTATGTTGGTAGCTGGTTTTAATTTCTACTCTATATAGTTTGATAAAGGGAATAGTATAAAGAGAGGAATAAAAACCCGAAGTACTTCTATGAACTCTTTGAGGAAGACTACCTTGATTCATTTCGTATTTTCTTAGGTTTAGAAACACATAAAATGTGTGGGTTGCCTGTTGACTGGGTGTAGTTAATTGGAGTAGAAACAAAGATATCCCTGAAACTAAAAACGTGCTCATGCCCAACAGGTAATCAACACAGGTCTTAGGAAAGCTTGTTTCCTTTGGGCGTTTTGTACAAAAGCTGTTAGCAACGAGATAATATGAAATACGGGTTATAAACTGATTGGGAAAAAAGATAGATGGATCTTTTATAGTTATTTTGTTATATGATTTTCTTTTCTTTTCATACTAGTAAATAACTTTGACCAAAGCCTGGGCTTTGTTTGTTTATTGAAACAAGTGAGAGCTTTTGTGCAGAGCCATCATTTTGCCTCTTTTTAAAAATTATTTATTTATGCCATCCACAACTTGTTAAATGACAGGTTGTTTGTGTGCAAGAGATGTAAGTCAGAGAGTATAAGAATGCATTGGCAGAGCAGCCAGAATGGCTTCAGCATATTCTGAACACTGGTACAGCAATTCTTGGGTGCATAAACTACTGATAAGCAAAGATAGAAAATTAATGAGATTAGAAGAAAGTATATCTATCACAGACGTAATCTGAGATCATTGGTCGCACTGCCTGAGAAGGTCTGAAATGCTTCTGAGCAGCATTGCCTCCAGCTTCCCAAGAAATCTTTTTTTTTGAACCTGTGAGAAATGTATTTGTTCTTTAAGCTCCAGAACAGTTCTGCATTTCATTTTGGTGGGGCAATTAGGAAACGTGATCCTCCAGATGAAATGGATAACAACAGTACATAGGCAAAATCCATTCAGAGGGGTTGAAACTAGGTGATCATAAGGTCCCTTCCAAACCTTACCATTCTATGATTCAGATAGCTGGAAGGTTTTCAGAGCAGGACTCTGTTTAAGTAAGCAGTTGGCTCTCAGTTACATCTAGGTGATGCAAACAGAGATGAAGAAGAAACTCTTTCCATTTCCAGACCTATTACCCAAGTTTCAGGTGTATTTTTTTTTTTAGGGTTAGTCACCAATTTAAAATGGTAAGTGACTAGGAACATCTTTCACAGCTGTTAGTGGAGTCTTTCAGCTGAGAGGGAAGAAAATGCCAGGCCTGTCCCTGAGGTCACTGGAATGTGTGTCCAGCTTTTCTTTCTAATGGTGAATCTCAACTCATGCCTCATTTCTTTCAAATAGTAGGTGTTCATTTTTATCATTTGTTATTTCAGTTATAGGCACTGTTGTCTTTAAGGAACATTGCTGGAGAGTCTTTCCATCCTCAGTGTCAGTTCTTTGTATTTTTAGGAATATCACGTCATTCTCCGTCTTAATATAAATCAAACTTCACAACAGGTGACATCAGTGTTAGGGTAAATTTTGAGGCAGAGAGTTTTTAAATTGTGAAAGATGAATGGGAAGCAGCCTTCACAGAGATGGTCCTTAGACTAGTGTTTCTAAGGCCCATTCATATTTTTGCCATTGGGATTTTTTCACCAGTCTTTTTACAGATTGAAAGCATAAGAAAGTCCGTCTTGACATGTGGTGGTCAAGTAAGTGTCCAGTTGATGCATGTCATATTTGGGTAGTGTGGAAATTCCATTACTGTTAGTGATCAGATGCCAGACACAAAAATAGGGCTTGATGTCTTGGGATCTTTTGGTTGTGTGGTGTTTTTTTTCTTGTTGTTTTGTTTTGGATTCTTGGTTTGGTTTTGTTTTTTTGTTTTGGTTTATTTTTTTATTTGTCAACAGCAGGACTAAGATGTAGAATTCCTATTATATTAATTGCAGTTTATCAAAAAGGGAAATGTTTTATATCGGTATTAGACTATGTTTTAGGCAATTTTTGCATGTTTGTAGAGGGAAGGTGAAGTAAAAGAAGCCTTTTTCTTCTCCCATATAAGTGGACTGGGCACTGAGTTCTACAGTTGCTGTTGCTGATGCTCAACTCCTCTAGGAGACAAGTGGTAGGGCTTTTGCTTCAGAAGGCATTGTTGGCATGTCGGAGTCATCATCAGAAGGAAATAAAAGTTTCCTTTCACCCTGCAGCAAAGGGGAAAATAAACAAAAATCCTAGAGTGGAATTTTAACTTGAGCTACCATGAACTAGACGGTAACTTTAGGTGCAAGTACTTACTGCTGTCTACGCAAGCTATAAATGAAGATAGCGCTAAATGATGTAGTTTTTCTTCAGACTTTCAAGATACGTGACAGCAGATGTCTCAGCAGCTGTTCTGTGCCCCCTCTTTCAGTATATAACACACTGGACTTCACCCTCTCTTTTTAATGTTCAAATGTCTTTCCTAAATACATTTTTAACTATATGCAAGATAATAATAGGGTTTCAAAAAATAAAAGCAAAAAACCCTGAAAATATCATCTAGCTAAAACGACAATTCAGACTATTCCAAGTGCCAGTCTGGGGTGACCCAGAGAGTGCCATGTGTGGCTTTCTTGCAGAAACTTAAGTTTGATCCTCATATATTTTAGTAATGCAGCATAGGAATACTAAACTCAAGCCTGGCCAAATCCTCAGCACCATCATACACGCCTCAGGTAGGGGATGTGCTATCTTCTCGAAGGCAGGGAAGAGCAGCAGCTTCAGTTCACATGCCATGAAGGACTTCTAGAAAAGGTTAGTCCCTTTTTCTCTTTTTTATGTAGAAGGCAAGTTTGGGACCAGCATAAATTTATTTTTCTCATTTCCTTTTATGACAATGAGTGAAGAATCGTGAATAATTGCTTAATGTCTAGACTTTATATGAAGTCGTCAGCATTTGCCCAACTCTTCTTTCTGTATTGCAAAATTTTACTAATTCCAGTGAATAGAATTAACAGCGAGAACACAAAGAGAGGCAAAACATATGTGCAGTATTTACACTGACAACAGATGACTATGATCAGCATACTGGAAACAATGTCAAATTTTTTAGACTCCTTCATTTTCCAGCTGACTCAAATAGCAACCATTTGACTTGGCTTCTGCCATTTTGTGTACAGCTTCTAGACACAAGCCACTCACCACCTTGTATGAAGGGCTTCTTGAATCTGAGGAGCACTGGAGTCAATGCATGTGTTAACACCAAGAAGGACTAGGGTCTGGAGCACACTGTGAATGGATCATCCTCCATTTTGGTTTTCCATCACGAGCAAAAGGAGCTCTTTCTGTGGAGAGACGTCAGAAAAGGAAACCACTAAGGCAAGAAAGAAAATGTATGAACAGAGCAGAAAGAACTGATAGTCTGGGAGCAAGAATTATGTGAAAGGGAAGGAAGCATGGGCACCATCTGCCAATCTGTTCATTGAAATACAAGGTTTAATTCAACTCACCTAAACATACCTCTACTAAAACACTTACATATGGTTTTAGGTGTTTCGAACGTCTTGCTGAATTGGGGCCTTTAGAATAAAAGTGAATTAAGAACAATGGAGAAAGGAAAAGAAATGCTTCCTTCCACAGGTGGAGTTTTCAAGTTTCTTGTTAATTTACAAAAGAGTTTTCCGAAATACTTGCAAAGTGAAATAATCTATTGCTGTAAGTTTGTTTTAAAAAAGTTCTTATTTTGCAGGTTTCTTGTCTAATTATGTTTGTGGATCACAAATAATTTTTTTACTGAACCCTAAGCATTAAACTTTACAGTGAAAAATGTCACTTTTTTATTTTTTCCAGAAAAGAGAAGGAATCCTCCAGTCTCGACAAATCCAAGAGGAAATAACTGGTAACACTGAGTATGTCAACACCACTTTTGCCAGCAGTTCAGTAATTGAACACAGATGTGTCTCAGAAATTCAAACATTTGCTGATATTTAGATTTTGGTATTGGGGTTCCAGGGAAGATGACGCATCAGCCAGTGGCTCTATTTTAGCCTTCTCAAGAGCTGCAAACATGCATCTAAAAATACAAAAGGGTGAGGAAATACAAAGCCGGGGAACTAAAAGCAGGAAACCATGGTAAAAGAGGAGACAGAGGGAAGCTCTACTTTATCTTCTATTAATTTATTTCTGTATTTATTTCTTATTATTCCAAAGTCCTTCAAACAAACAAGGAAGATATGCCTCATTCTTTTATGTTGGTATTTATTTGATAGAGAACTAGATTATTTCAAAAAGGAATGTGATACAACTATTTTTAGGTGTTTTGGAGATTTAAAATTATGGTATCAAGCCCTGTATATGTCATCTGACCAAACAATGTTTAACAGAAAAGCTATTCCAAATTAACAGACAACAATAATAGAATATCCTAGTTTTTAATAGAATGAATGGAAACCAGACTATTGACTTATTATTAATCTTTATGGATTTCCTTATGTGTGCTAGTTATATAAGGAATCAACTGCAGGAAAATCCTTCAGTGTTAGGAACCAAGTTCAAGCATTGTTTTGGCTGAAATTATAGTTGGTTTGGTAAATGCATCTTAAAAGCAAATTGGAAAGTTTTCAAAAAATCAGTATGAAAAAGCCACCTTCACTCAAGCAAGATGTGTTGATTTGGTTCAATAGTAGGATATCTGAGATCTGGGTTCCCATGAGACTTTAGTGAAGCCAGGAGACATTAAACTGATGGACTGCGGACTAATCCAGAATCTCAGTTAGAGTGACTTGATAAAGGTACTCTTAATTCTGTTAATCTGCTCCAGCATTCGACAAGCTGAAGATCTGGCCATGTATGATGTTGTCTTTTGCAGCACAATGTCTGCAAGTGTATTACATATAACTGTGTTTTGTTCTTTTTGTTTTTCATAGGGCATTATCAGGAAGGCATGGTAAGTACGTTTGATTATTTTCTTTTTCTAAAGGCAGCCAAAGTCAACACTAGTTCTGCAGTGCGTGGCCACTTTGATCGAACTGCAAGGAAGCAGAGGATTTCAAGTCGCTCTGGCAAATATATAAATATATGCACCACAAGCTATTGTGGCAGTTAACAAAAGGAAAAAAAAAAGCATAAAAATCAGTCTGACCATCTTTAAAACACATTTCATTGCTTTTCAGCATGTGTTAATTTGCAGGTGCTTTATGGTTTAACCTCTAGAACATTACTGTAATAGTAATAATGGTCATAAGTTCACAGCATAATATGAAATGTCTTATCATAAACTAGCTGGTGAGCCTGTTGGCATTCTTGCATGCATTACTTGCTTATGCTTTAATGACTTTGAGTCATTATTTGGCTGGCCTAAACACCATGCAAGTTCCTGTGTCTAGTACATCTTACTGCAAGTAGTGAGACTAGCCAGAGGCCTGGCCAACAGAAAACATGTATCTGAGAAGCTTAGGTGGAGTCCCACCAAAATTTAGCATTTGCTTTTTGTTTTATTTCAGTAGCTGCCTTAGAGCTGATCTAAAAGGCTACATGCGTGACCTTTTCCCAGTGATATCCCAGAGCACTCTCTGTATGAAGTGTACCTTCTACAAATGCTTTTGGATCTAGCGTTCATACTATTGAGGAGTATGAATGTAGCTTTTCATAGAGTCAGTCACTATCATTCAGGTAGTAGTCAAAATGGAAATTGCTCAGAAAAAGCTCTGGTACCTTTTTATATTTATTGTTTTTTCTGTTTTCTTCAGAATGCGGCTATGGTAGCACTCCAGTCATGCTACCCTAGGTTTCCTGTTCTGCTGATAATGTCCTAAATTGCATATCAGAATGGCCCCAAAACATCTATACAAAGGATTGTATTGCAGCTGTGTGATTAAGAGGCTTGCAGACCACAATGCAGTCAGTGGCCCATGGGGAAAATCTTCCTATGTAGATGTACTGACTCTAGATGTGAACTCAGGTCCTTCTGCAAGAAAAGATTTGGTTATTTAGCTCCTTGTTTCTGTCCAATTAAGGTTTTATGCATTAAGATACCATTATTTGTTGATCTCTAAAAAACAGGGTTATTGGGTAATCCATATCCTGCTTGAAAATCATGCTTTTTGCAGAGAATAAGTTCCTAGCAGCTTATAGCAAGAGAACAGTATGCAAAATACATGGTACGTGGAATACAAAGGGGCTATAATGAAACCTCTTCCTGACTATGTTGTCTCAAACAATATGTGCCTTAATGGGCATTTATTCTGCATTTGAACAACTGCTGCTCAAGATATTAATATCTCTGAATGTTTTTCAGAAAGAGACGCATTTGACACTTTATTTGACCATGCTCCAGACAAGCTCAATGTAGTGAAAAAGGTTGGAAAGTTTTAATTTTCGAATTACATGATGTGTGCATGTTTCTGTGGATCTGTTTCTACATATGTAGTGAGTGTGTATGTATATAATACATAATTGACATAGTTTACATACATTAAATACAATTAAGCTTTATGCTTAAACAAACACACAAATTCATTACTATAATAGTACTTTTTATTCATGTTCAGCAGCATAAACTTAACTTTGGAACACAGAACAACATGTAGTTATCAATGTTTCCATCAAAGAGAAATTCTCACAGAGTGTATGTTAAGTAGAACCTGCCTGGTAGATTGAGTATACTGATGCTAAAGAGGTATCCAGTTTACAACTGCCAGGGGTCTGACTTAGGGTATTTTGGCTGCTGTCAGATTTGAGTGGAGTCCAGTTACCCACTTCCCTATAGTCTGCTACAGGGTTTTTTTTTTTAAGAATTAGTGTGTTTTAACAGTGTTTTTATTATATACATCAGGATCATTTTATTTCTGTTCTTCAATCTGAGAAGAAAAAAAAGGGGGTTTTAATGTTCTATTTCAGTTTTAAAACTTGAAGACAGTGTTGCAGTCTCTCTGCTCATGCAGATTCTCTTGTGAGTGAAGTTAATACTGCATATGTTGAGCTGCTGCCCTACTGAATAGGCTTTCAGTACATTGTTTTCATATTTCAGACTCTCATCACCTTTGTTAACAAGCATCTAAATAAATTGAATTTGGAGGTCACTGAACTGGAGACTCAGGTAGGATTTTACAGCCTTTCATAAAGCGAAGGGATAGTTGCACTGTTGCGCACTATGCCCCGAGCCTTATCCAGAAATCTCATTGAGTTATTACTGATTGAGCTCTAAGATGTTATTTCAGCAGGAAACCCTTCATTTCTAAATATGTTTGTGTGATGAAGACCATCACCAATTGGACAGCTTAATTCTTCTGAAACTGTTTTGCGCTTCCATTAGCATAAAAATTAATTAATATATGCTACCTCTTGGGTGCTGCCAAGTGCTGTAAGCAAAACCTGTACTTGTTTTGGTCAGGAAAGAACTCTGTCTGCTTGATTTGATCCAGCATCAAGCTGAACAGTTGTTTCCTGCCTACCTTCACATAAGCATGCGATCATACGGGAATACAATGACTCTATTCAGTAAGACACGTTCTTGAGAGTAAAGCTACTCAAGTGTATAGGCAGCTGTAGAGTTGGGCTGCAGGCTTGATTGCAGCGCAGAAATTATGTGGTACATGGTCTTCTTTCTTGTTCTCAGCTGCTAAATTGGCTGAAAATAATCTAAAAGAAAAGCTTAATCCTGCTGTATTAATACCACCCCATATGAACAACAAGCAGTTTTCATAAGCAAATTACAAGGTCAGACAGGAAGGATGGTATCAAAAAAACCCCAGGTGACTTCAGGACAGGCTTTTATTTTATGCTTGATTCATGTTATTAAGAATCTCTGGTTTATTTAAATAGCTATCAATCTCATAGAGATTTTTCAAAGGTAAGATTCAGATGTAAATAATATGTAAGGGCTTTCAGAAATGTGTTCCCTTTGCCTGCTTATTGCAGTATTTGCTTTGGAAAAAAATATTTACTCAGATGTGGCTAGAAACCCCTTAAGCATTTATCTGAAACAGTATTCCCTGAGATGAGAGATTGTATTTCTGTCAGTTGAAAGAAAATGACCTACTACAAGAAGGTGATGGGTTGCTTCAGATAACTCAGTTTGATTATGAGCATCTCTCAGTACATTGATAGACCTGATGCCACAGGGGTAAGAGTGAGAGGCCTTTATCAAAATCTTGTTGCTATTTTTTTAGATAGAAATTAGCATATAGCAATTACATATCTTCCATCTGTAATTACACTTAAAATTAGGTTGACACAGACTTACATAACATGGATGAAGATGTTCCTTTATTTCCTCCAATGCACTGGATTTAAGTGCAGCCATGAGATTGCACCTCCATTCTACTTTTCTGTGCTCAGGGAATGCATGCTGTTTGAGAGCTTGAAAGGTGGCTGTTCTGATACCCTGCAACTAGTTGAATAGAAAGCAAAGGCATACCTCAGAGCCACTGACAACCACTCTTCCCAGGAACTTTATTTGGCATGTGTATTTTAGCATTAGGTCAGTTTTGGAGAAGACATAACAGAATGTACTAACTAAATAAGAGGAATGAAAGAAGTGAGATGAAAACTTTTTGTTGCAATTTAAAATATTTGTATTAGTATTTTGTTGACAGTTTTGCATTAGACAATATATATCTTGTTCATTAAGCAAAGCAATGAGTTATTCTTCAGTAAATGTCCTGAGAAATGTCTGTTTTACAGTTTGCAGATGGTGTGTACTTAGTCCTGCTAATGGGTCTCCTAGAAGGCTATTTTGTTCCTCTGCATAGCTTTTTCTTGACTCCTGATAGTTTTGATCAAAAGGTAATTAGATTTCATTTTTCTGTTAAAAACAAATATTTATTTGACATAAGCATGTCAAATAGTTCAAAGATGACACAGACTTTTCTGCATAAGTTTGATGTAATAGGAATGTGCTGGTAACCAATTTCAAACATTTTTACGATCTCAGTATTAATGCTTATCGGGAATAAAAGGGAAAATTATGTTAATGATGGAGAGGTTAGCAAGTAGGAACTGATTTTGGCAGCCATTTTGTGATGCATTGAACCAGACTTAGTCTTCAGTAAGTGTAGAAGAAATTATACACATGAATTGTTGACTGAACTGGGTTTTTGTGTTGAGAATCCAAGAATTTAACATTTGAAAGGTTTAATGTTTTTTTGGAAGCATAAAAGCATATATGTACAATCTATCATTTTAAGACCAACTATTACTCGAATGTCTGTTGCTATCCAGGCAATTCAGTTGTCTATTCAAGATAAGAGTGCTTCACGGGCCATCATGTTCCAATTTTCAAACTTGCAGGAGGTGGGCTGTTCTTACTTGTAACTAACTTTTCTATGGGTAATATTAGTCCACATGTTATTTTTCAATTACTTTTATGTTTCTGAAACCACCATCGCCACCCAGAAAAAAATAAAACAATGGATTGTCTGGATTCCACAGACCAGATCTGCCATTGATATACAGAGCCCTGACTATTTTTTTCTTTCTTAGCATCTGGGTCTGCGGCTTTAAATAAATCTTATTTTGACCATTTATCCTATATTGTATATAGTTCACAATAATGAGTACCTTTATCGCATTACTAGGTCCTCAATGTATCCTTCGCATTTGAGCTAATGCAAGATGGTGGATTGGAAAAACCAAAGCCAAGACCAGAAGGTATCTATTCTACTTTTTTTATATGTTCTTAAAAATTTGCAATGGATCTCATAGGATTATGGTATAGCTAAACAGTGGTTAAAACATTAAACAAAGAGTGAAAGTCAAGATATATTTTGAAGTGCTCAGGTAACTGTATTTCAAGCGGCTGTTAGATACACTTTCAGATGTTGCAAGGCTTCCTTTCTTGAATGGCCAGGATAATATTTGCATGACCAAACATATTCAGTAATACTCAGATATTCACTGAAAGACAAAGCATACAGCTGTGAATGGTGAAAGTAGCAGATACGAACTGCTCCAGTTGCTCCCTTTTCCCCCATCCCGCATCTTCATAGCAAACCTCAAGTATTCCAGTGTAATTTAGAAGTTTTTCACAAAATAAGTAGGTATTGTGGATAAGGAATTTCAAGTGTTCACATAACTGCCTTTGAATGCAGGACCTAATAATGGATATTTAAATTAGATTTAGAGCTGGAAACTGAAAGTAAAGTGCCTTGGGGGAAGATGAAGGGTTTGCTGCTGACTTTAGCAGGACCAGGGTTGCACTCCTCTTTGGAGTTTAATATAAAGAAGGGTTTAAATCCAGCCTTTCAGGCTAGATATAGTGCTCTTGATTCACTGTGCTATAGGGTGCTCTTGTGGTTCCTCCTCTAAGAAGTTGCCACTTCTTACCATGGAGGAGCTGAACATGTAGCTTCTGCTTCACGCTTCCCAACAGGGGTGGTTACTAGGCTTTTGCTGGTTAGCTACCATAATAGTAAAAATAAATGTGCTTTCAAGACCCATTGCAGATTCACGTTCTATGATGCACAGTCTTTTCCTGCCATAATATTGGGTTGTCATTCCCTGAGGAGCTGATCGAAGTGAATGCTCAGTTTTACTTCTAATAGCAATGACGCTCTGGAGATTCAGGCACACATCACTGAATCAAGTTCTGCTCCATTCTGCTTATTTTCCATTCCTCCAGGCTTCCACATCATAACAAAAGTAGACGTACATGCACACAAAATAAGTATGTCTCAGGATTCAGCCTATTCTGCCTGGGCATTTAATCTGCACCTACGCAGCCTGTCTTTTCCCTTCTTTTGATTGCTTGAATTCTTGTCCACAGTCAGCTAAACCAGTGGTGACTGTATCACAAACTTTTATGTTTGAAGTAGTCAGAGAAGAGGGAAATAGTGAAATCTAGGGATCCAAGTAAAACAGAGAGTATCTGTGATCCCTTACTCCCCATGGAGGTTTAAAATTCTTATGGCATTTAATTTTTCAGGTATTTATTGCTCTAGGGGACAGCTAATTTTTCCAGTATAAATCAAGCCATAAGGATATTTCAGCATATATAAGACATTTCTTGTGCAATTATTGAAATGCTTAATATGAAACTTCCTGCCCAATGTGAATGGAAAAACACATCTGTTTTATGTGTTGTTACACTGGGCACAATGCCCGGACTTAAAATTTCCAGTGAGCAAAAGCATATTGAAAAGGATCTTGCCCTAAATGCGTATACTAAATACTCTTTAAATTCCTACACTGTTTCTTTGAGGTTCTTGAGGAAAAAATATGCTGAAAAGTGCTTTAGAATATGAAAAACATATCTAGTGGAAAAAAAGAATGTGGTTAAATAAATGAGTACGAAAACCAATGATTTTTATGGGGTCAACAGTTTATTTGGGTTATTTGCAATATAATTGAAAAGGTATTAAAAACCATTCTGTGACCTTTTACTTTAAAAAGGGCCAGAACATTAATCTACTGAGTCTATAATGAATACATTTCCAGTTTGAGCTTTTTTCAGATTACTTCTTGAAATGTGTGTATCAAAGTCAAAATCAAGTTTCTCTTTTTGAAAATTGCAATCAGTAAAATGTTGTATATATAGGTCAAACACATGTAGCAATGAAAATAACTCATCTTTCTCTGGGAGCATGCTGCTTTTTAGTTTGGAGCTTTCTGGAGAATTCCGTTGTCGCAGTGAAGTCTTCTGGTAACTTCACGAAGACCTATGAAAGTTATCTCTTTACTCATTTGACGTTCTGTATTAGGAAAGGAAGGTGTTATGCAGCTTGCTGCTGGCCTGAAAAGGAAACTTCCCGAGTTACATGCAGACAGTACTGCAGAGTATAACTTGATGCTGTGGGAGCAGTGTGCCCTTCCTCTAGCTTTTGGCATTTTCTTTTATATCAAGCAGTTTTGATCTGATTGAATTAAGAGCCACAAAACCATGTGGCCATGGTTTCATGACCATACACAAGCTCAGCATAAAATCTAGGTTTGAGTGTTTTCACCCTTTGTGTGTGGATGTCAGTTTGACATGTAGTTGATATCTTTAGCCCGTCAAAGTTTATATGCTTCGGGACAGCATGCACAGATTTGATTGGATTCATTCTTCAATGTATAACCCCTTTACAATCTATGAGAAATATCAGTGCTGTTAAATATAATGGTAGAACCATCTGATAATTATATATACAATTTACTAGGCCTGCTTGGAGGTTTTGAAGATAATGGGACACCATCTGCTTGACACTTTCATGAGCAATTCCAAGAACAAAATTAGGAGATTGAATTCCTGTGAAGTCAAAAGTCATAGGACAATTCTAATTCAAATTCTATTTTGCTCTATTCTGTTCTTTCTGAGGGCAATTCTAAGTCCCTGTTTGAGACTAAAAATTCCTTGAAGCACTAGCGTAGACTGCTGCAGTAGTACTTGTCAGCTTGTTTTATAGATTTCTTGTGAAATAACATTAATTTTCTCAAGAACTTCTCTTTGAAACAGAAAGTATTCATCAGCTTTTTGTTTCATGTAACTCCTTTACTTTATACATGGAGTTTCTAAGGCCATATACATCAACTAATCCAAAGCATTTTCAGAAGGTGGACTTGTATGCCTAACTTCTTTAGATCCATCAGAAAATTTAAACTTGCCTCTAGCTGTCTTGCTGAAATTAGGCCTACTAAAGGATGTTGCAACCCAGAATGCAAGTTCTGCAAATCTTAATGTGAGAGTTCCATTGGTTCCCGTCTCATTGTTTGTTCAGAATACTTACTTTCCAGCCACAATTAACTGAAGATTCAGTAATGTAAATATGTGTAAACCTAGACACAATTTGTCTCATGGGTATCTAAACCTTGGTTGCATTTCTATATCAGCACCATTAGCCGTTTGTATACCTAACAAAAAGTGGTTGAAATAATGATTTTTGAGTTACCAGTTTAAAAGCTTTACTTTGTATCTCTACTCTTTCTTACTGTACTTGTGATTCTAATGTTCATGGATATGGATCCGAGCAAGGAAAGGAAATGGAGGATAGGCACTTTTTCTGAAAAATGTTTTGAGCTAATGAAGTTACTAATTGTTTTTCCCTTGTCTTTTTTCTAGATATTGTAAATTGTGACTTGAAGTCTACACTGAGAGTACTGTACAATTTGTTTACCAAATACAGGAACGTGGAGTGAAGAACTGATTTGGGTCGTGAAGGAGTGTTAACAAAGAAAACTTCATAACTAGCATATCTTTCATCAGTATTCCTCTGCATCTTTTTCTGAAAAGGAACTGAACCATTTATCTGAAGCATTTTTAATTGATTATTCATGCACTACTATTTTTATAGGAGATTTAAAACTAAGAATGAAGGGTTTGGAGGAAGGTATTTGGGTGTATTCTGGGAGAATTAATATCTTAGTAATAACTGTTTTCACACTGTTTTGTAGTAGGTGGAGACACAATGGAAAAAAAGATATAGTAACTTTAGTTCAAATCAGCATTTGAAGCAAATCATAGGAAGATTCTGTACTGAATAGCTATTTAAATATTTTTAATGTATGTATTTTCTGGTCTAGGGGAACAATATTTTCTATTCATGATAAGACAGTTGCCATGAGAAATATGCATGGGGAAAACCAGTTAAAAACTCTTGTTCAGATCACAGCTAAAAAGATACTTTTTCAAGCACTTAACCTGATTGATTTATATTTCCAGTGCTATTAGGCTTGAATTTTAGGGTTACAAACTGAAGTGGCTACTCATTCCTTCAGACTTACTGTAACGTGATGCTCTGCTTTACCTATGTGTTATTGAGCATTCCACATAAGCACGCTTTGCAGCTTGTCGGTTTTGTTCAAGAGGGCTTTTTTACAAAGTACACATTTCAGGAAAACACATTATATAATACAGTTTCTGTATAATATTTGTATTACTATAGAAAAAAAAAGAATGGTTTCTTTTTTATTCAGTAGTTTAAACACAGGATTAACAGGTTGTAAGTTTAGATTTATTGCTAAGTAGGATTTAGAATTTGTCCCTTTGTTTGATTTTATGGTGAATGTATTTTGCTGCATAATGTCTAGCAGATTCATTTTCTAGAAACATTCCTGTAGCCTTTCAGTTACAAAAGCACTGCTTTTTGGTCAAAACTACTCCAATCTGCAAAGACTCCACTACAGTATAAGTTTTTGGTGTCATTTTTACACAGCTGTAAAGAATACTTTTGTCTAATCATGACCAAGTATAAGCTGTTACCTGTTTAGTTTTAGCTTAAACAAAGACAGGAAAGAGAAATGGGAGTTGATTCTTGCCATAGACAGATATCAAGCACCGATTATGTTTCCATAAAGAAGCTGATGGAGACTGCCTGAATCTTCAGAAACTGTGCTGGCATAAGTTGAAGAGTAAATCAATCATTTGCTGGAAGTCTTGATGTTAGATACACTAAGAAGTGATCCGATGCAACCACAGATTCTTGGGATCCTGGGTTACACAGTAAGGAAGAAAATCCTTAGACAGGAATTACTGGATGACTGTTCAGAAATCCTTGGACTGTTTGAGGCAGGAAGGAGACTTGTTAATAGTCGTCCAGTCACGACAACTGGTATAGGTAAAAGGGAAAGCAATCTGTCAGCCCTTGGGTCTGTTCATCTGTAGAAAAGCAGTGCTGACTAGAACAGCCAGTAGCGGCTATATGTTACTTATTGGCTTTCCAGTCCAACCTTAGCAAAAAAGGAAGACAAGCCGTTATGTTCTGTCTTTTAAGCACAGGATCGTAGAGTGGTTTGGGTTGGAAGAGGCCTTAAAGCTCATGTAGTACCAACCGCCTACCATGGGCAGGAACACCTTCCACTAGACCAGGTTGCTCAAAGCTGCATCCATAATGAATACTCATAATGAACACTAACAGATATTACAGAAATTATTATTCTGAGAAGTATATATCAACTTTAGCAAAGGAAAGTCAATATATAGTTCAGAGGACAATATCTGAATGTTCTCTGAACTCAGAAATTGTTATCTGATTGTTATAAACTTTCTAAATATCTTTATTAAAATATTTTGTTACCTCTGTATTTTTAAAAGTTTCTGAAATTAGAGGTACAAAAAATTAACAATTATTTGCCTTTTACAGAGGGAAATAACTGGCCATTTTGACCTCCATGAAAATGAACATGTTTTGATTAGATCTTTAATAACTGAGAAACGAAGCAAAACAATAGGAATCAACCAACCATTTTTTTGAGCAAACTGAGACCAGCAGCAGTTTCAGCTTATTTAATGTACGTTTTTCATTTGTGCACCTAGATTGTAGTAATTGTAATAGTTATTTAAAAACATGTATGATGTTTTTCTGCAGATCATGCTCAAATGAAGCACTCTTTTACATCTTAACAATGCTAAAACATTTTGATTGCCCTTGTTTTCAGGAGTGCACTTTCTTTAAAGAGGAGATATATATATGTAAAAGAAAAAAGTTAGGAGCAATGAAACTATTTTTTGTCTGGACTTGAAAGTGTTCCTGTGTTATATTGGTATAACGTTTTAGAGATTTTGAAGTCTATCAATCAGGCTCTGTTTTCTATCCTTAAAAAACATAAAAATGAGACAAAATGATAGAATCCTCATGCTGAAATGTAATTATGCAGAATCATAGAAACAAATAATATCCAAGCTTTACACAGTTATCTATCCTATGGTAAGAATTTATGTAAATTAAAATCTACTGTATAAACGAGAGTGTCTTATGTAAATATAGACCCATGTGATAGTTTTAACACATTCACACAAATAGTATATGCTGCCATGTAGGAGTGGGTCACTGCTTATATTTTTGACAGTGTAGATTTAAATAGCTATCAGATAAATATGAAATCTAATATACAGATTATATCTAATATTTATTGCTTTGATACAGAATATTATAGAAATATACAATACTACTGCAGACAATTTGCCCTTAAGCAGTCAGTGTAGGCCAGCACCTTCCTTCAGGGAAGCAAAATGTTAAATTAGCTGGGCCAAATTCTGCTGGTGCCTGTGATGCTTTTATGCTTGATACAGAGCAGATGTACTGACGTACAGCTGAATGCAGAATTTTCCTCACTCTTTATTTGAAGATAGAAGTTGTTTAAGATTTAGGTCAATCATAATTTTATTTATGTTTGCTTTAAATGATTAAATAGGTCCAGGTCAATGGATGTAGCCCATGTAAGATATAAACGGTCACCTGGAGAGGCAAGTTTCTCTCCTGGTCCCAGCAGGAGCCTCTAATCTTGAGGCTGCTATCTCACTGCTTTGGCTAGGTTTCTAAAGCCAAGTAGTATGAGTCCAAGTCACTGCCTTAACTTCTCATGGTGGTATTCGGATCTCATCCACCAGACTAATACGCTTGTCTGTTGTGCTCTGTCACATGAAGGCCCACAGGTAGTGGAGTCCACTGAAAACTGGCAGAATATTCACCTGCCTTGAATAATAAATAGTAAACATTTCTGCTGCTGGGGCATTATGAAACTGCCAAAAGAACAGAGGTTTCTATGCTTCTCTGATTTCTAATCCGTCTGTTGCATCCAGCAATGTGGTATCCAGATTTGTTTTGTGATTGGAGATGGGCATTCTTTTCCTATTGATGGAGCCTGGCATGCTCTGTCAACCACACAAAACTTACTTTTTTTCAAAGAGCAGCTAGAGATTCTGAACAGTATGTGAGAAAGATGTAGTTAAAATAATTATCTAAAATCCTAGTATCTTGAAGTCATCTTCTTTCAGATTTCCTTCCCAGCTGACTGGCATTTAGTTGCTGTAAAGAAACAGGTCCTAGGAAAAAAAAAAGGTATTGAAGGAATCTTTGCATAATTTTACCTGAGATACACACATAAAGTCCAAAACTTGATTGCTCTGTATTTCTGCTGGAGTACAAATGCACCAGGTTTCTTATTAAAGAATATTTAGTTCTTTGCGTTTCTTAGTCAGTATATATCTTCCTGTAGTAGGGGGGCAGCAGTCTTATAGCTGCATAGTTCAGGCATTTAAGTGGACCAGCAAGTGCTGGATAAGGTCCAAATCTACGTTGACTAACTGTGGACCAAGTTGCAGATCAGCATATCTCCATGTGAACCAGTGGCATTAAATCAACAGAGCATTTGGTCCTTTCTCTTTTACAGAAAGTTACAGTGTTTGGGAATGGTTTACATTCAGGCAGACTATATTGACTGAGGTAAATGCTACTTGGTTGGCTTTTGTTCTTACTTAATTCCTTAAAGTATTTTTTTAAATTCGTGTTTCAGATTAATTTAGCGGACACCTTAGTGCAAGCTATAGTGTTGTAAAGCAAAATGACTTTTAAAAGTAATGGGATTTATTTCATTAGAGAAAGATATATATATATGCTATTTAATACACTAAATACTAGCTTTAGGTCTAGTTTTTGTTATTCCTGTCTTCCTATCAGAACAGCGTTCGTGAATGGCCTCTGTGTGTGCCAAGCATGCAAAAAAGAACAGTGCCTTGAATAACTCTTGCAAGATTTTCTACACTGTTATCTAATAGACTTTTGTCATTTTACTATAAGAATTAGTGTGGGTTTTTTTTTTTTACAGTTAAAAGTACAATTAAAAGCTGAAGAAATCCTTGTAGAAAGTTTAAATTAGCTTAAATTAAGATCTTTTGTTTTGATGTCTCACATGAAAAATGGAGATAGCAGCACCAAAATACCCAAATTATGCATACCTTAGCATCCGCAATTTTTCCAAAGATGTTTTGAGTAATTTAATATTTACTGGGGCTAATTTTATGTGTTTTGACAATATCTTCTGTATGACTGTTTCTTTTCCAATAATGAGATTTTATGTCTAATCTAGTTTAATACTATACACTCTGCAACAATGTATGTTTCACTGTAATATATTTGGTTCTCAATTTCAATATCAAACTAATCAAAAAAAAGCATATTTGCAAAATCTGCTTCTTAAGATGTGTATCTCAGATACCACAAATAGTGGTTAGTTTAAATTAAGCTGCGTTGCCTTCAAGTGCAGAGTTAGTAGCTTTCACAGAATATATTTAATGTACCCTGTAAGTAAGAGACACCATTGCTGAATTTTTCCTGTGCTTTTTCTGAAACCTTAGTTTTGATTCACAATAAAATAAAATACGCACCTGAAAAATCAACCCTGTATGTTGGGTCAAAGTATGACATGTATGACAAATAATGAGGAAGGGTGTATGGTTTATTTTCTCTTAGCTTCTAGACCCATTTTCAGTTGCGTCTATGTGGGTGCACTAGGTGTTTGTTATTATTTTGTGTGGGGGCTGGTGACAGCTGAAAGTGGGTTGGCAAAAACAGCCGCATAAGCATATGCTTGAAATGATTAACAACAGGAGGTTGGGAAAATGCTGTATTTGATTCAAAATAGCAAAGTATACCTTTAATTAAAATTACTGTGCTGAACATTTTAGTGGTGGTATTGCAGCTGGATATAATGCAATTTACTGCAGCGTAATTTTGTTAATTTGAGATTTAACAAAATCTTAGCAAAATGTTAAAATGATCAAAATTAAACTATTTCAGAAAATACCTGCATTTAGGAAGATTTTGAGATCTGTTTTTTTACAAATTTGTTTTTGTTGTGACTCTTTAATGCAGGCGCTTCAGTGCAGAACTTGGAACCAGTCAAAAATATAGGCATCTAAAGTGCTACAGATTGACATCTTTAGCTACTGAATTACTGGAATGAATCTAGAAGCAGGTGTTTGATCTTTAGGTCTGCTTGTAGAGTTGAAACCACCAAGCAGAGCTGCCTAATCAACAGGGAACAGTAAGGGTGAGTTTTAATGCCATTCTTCAATCCCAGCCTATTAAAAGTAAAAGGGCTGGAAAGAAGTATCTCTGCTTAGAATCCACAGTGTTAAGCCCCACCATATGTACTTGCAACTTTTGTCCTGAATTTCATGTATTTTGTCCTGAAGAGCAAGTAAACTTGCTCATCTTCAAATATTGCAGTACAACAAACAGGTTGTTGGCTGGCTGCTTCAGTTTCTTCATGTCTCTTCACCCAGAAAGTAAAAGACCTGGGTCTAATGTCTTTCTGCACCTGTGGGAGTTATTTCTCCTCCTTCTTAGAAGAATGCCATAATCTGCAATATGAATTTAAGGTAATGCACATTTTTTAGTGGCGTTGGAGGGGCACTGTCTACTCATAAGATGAAGTTGCAATTCAGTATATAAAGTGATTCCACAGTAACTGACAGAGAAAGAGAGCAAAATAGGTGGTTAGGTTTGGGGGAAGAACCTGTCTTCTGGGCCTCCTGTAAGCCCTGCTTTTGTATTTTAGTCAAAAAGTGCTGAAATACCAAAATACATTGGCTGAAGAGGAACCAGGACTAGCATCACCTCTGTTTCAATTCAGAGTTCCTGCTGAGCTTTGGTTACTCTCACTCCTCTCATTCAGGACTCTGGTGTCAAAACATCCCCAAGAGAAGGTATTCCTACCCCACAAAGCCTGCAGCCTGAGTTAGTTTTACATTTCCTCAGGCAAAGCAAATAATGGTTTCATCCCCTGCTTTCTACCTGTCTGTAGCCATTAGGTGAACTCATATGGGAAGATGAGCACCACATTATCTACCATCTGTGTTTTAGGAAAATGGCAGACGTGTGCATTTTGTCTGTAAAGCCAGTTGCGACTTTTTAGGCCTTCTCTGGGCACAAGTACTGGGTTGAGTGCTAAATCTCTTTTTTGAATCCCAGACAGATTAGAACTTCTCAGTCCCATTGAGACTAGGTCAGCTTCAAGAATGTGCAGGCATAAAATGCTAGGGCTTTTTCAATTGACAATCAAGGGTGAAATTTAGACAGCTTCAGGGGGAAGCATTGCTTTAATAGATTTTCCAGAATGGCAGCCTTGGTGCTTGTATTCAGTGTGAAGAGCACAAAATCTGCCTGGGGCCATGCGCCTCACATGGGCTGGTGAGGGAAAACAGGAAGACCATCTTCTGCTTCCCTTCTCCATATTGTGGTGGACTGCACAGACTCTTTCCCACTTGGCTCAGTTTAATTTTATTGGAAATAACCCTGAAAACATGCTTTAACTATTCCTCCCTCTCTTGGATGTTTCCACTGTTCCAGTGAGGTGAAAATTAATACTAAGCTAGCATATTGAGGTTCTAAAGTCTTTAGCTGTGACTAATCAGCACCATTCACTGCTTAGGGCTTTTGATGCTGGGAGGAATGAACAGTGCTGACTGTAGTCATGTCTCTGAATGATTTGTCCATTGGATCACATGCCAAATTTAAAACTGTTATATTAGATGAACAGATGAGGACTCTGAAATTACATGTGGGGGGGAGAGGGAAATCACTGTGGCTAGAACTTAATTTTTATTTTTTTTGTATTGGGTGGCAATACTTAGATAAGGGGGGGATTATTTCTATTCCTGTGCGCAGTCTGAAACTTTCAAGATGCTGAGGGCTGTAGCCTCAATTCAGCAAAACACTGAATTAACTTTAAATATGTGAGAAAAGCACTTGTGGTTTCTTGGAGTCTGTTTTACCTAGGCGTCGATAAATATTCGTATCACTGTGGAAAGCCTCAGTCACATTTACACTGAGGCCTGTGTTGTATTTATTGTCTTCACACCCTAGCACAATCCTATATAATTATACCCACAAAGCCATTACCTTTAAGGCCTGCTTTCCTTTATAAAGGATCCTTTATAGCCACTTTGTCAATTAGCTCATAAAAGATGTATGTTTCTTGTCCACTCTTGTATTCATTAAGAGTTTCACCTGCACGAGGACTGAAAAACTAATTTTTGTCTACTTTTATGAGGGCCTTGGAGATCAGATACGTAAATCAACTGCAGAGTATCAGAATGCTGCTGTCTGTGTTCAACACTGGCATTAAGTTTTAGGCAGATATTACTCAGGTGTGCTTATTATTTATTGCTGGGTGGTTTATATCCATGCATACACGTTTTGTTGCAGTAGGAGTTCCGTGAATGCATGCCGTGATACAGTCCATATCTTGAAAGGCTCATGGTCTTGCAGGAATGTGGGAGGAGGAAAGCTGTAAGTGAACTTCTCTAACTTTACACAGAAGATCATAATAGGTATGGATTAGGAACCAAGTTCCCTTATCTGTACCCCATCTGTGCCTTTTAAGTTGTGGTGTAAACCAAGGAGCTAGGAAGTTACCAGTGAGTTTTGTGTGGAATGCCAGTCCCCTGGGAAAAAGGGACTAGAGGAGTTACAAAGGCTGTTAGCTCAAAAGATTGCCGCACTTCCTGTGGTAAAGATGTAGGTGCTGAGCGTCAAGCCACTGAGGCAAGTACGTGGGTTTGTTAGGTTGTTTGGAGAGGAATTTTTCCCATTGAAGTGCTGCAGGGTCATCAGCTAGGAGGGAAATGCCAACATTACAAGTTATATGTGTGTGATTTAGACTTTCCCCTATGTGACAGTAGCTTAAACACTTTCATGTGCATATTGTTACAATAATAGAGTACTGAAGGTGTCAGTCCTAGATTTCTAAGCTTTCTGTACCTCCAGATCTTTCTGAACTGCTTGTAATGGCTCTTGAATAGACAGAAGGGAGGTTATTAGAGCAGATCTGTGTTCTTAATTGCAAAAAAGCCTTGTACATCTACTGTCTGAAACCAGCACTCGGTTCAAATGGTGTCATAATGTATAGGTTCATTTTTTTTCTGTGTTATCAGGACAAATTAACCCATTAGCTGCACAGACTCTATTGTGAGTCAGAAGTATATGACTCATATGAATAGAACATTTCTATTCTGGTTTTAATTAACTTGGCTTCCACCCAAATCCTCCTTACAAATGAAAGATACTAGATTAGCTGAAGTCTACAATACATTTTTATGGTTTGTGCTAAACTTGCATGTGTATTTTTATGAGATAATGATACAAAAAAAAAATATTCCCATGAATGCACTAGTTTAAAAACTAAGCAACAGAGCTGCCTTATTTGACAGTCTGCTGAAGTACTGTAACTAATCTGTAAGAGAAAAAAAAAAAAAAAGAAATGCGCAATTCTAGGACATTGGGAGATTATTCCCAGTCTTGATTCAGATGACTGAAAAACTTGTGGTGATTACATTTTCAGTAAAAAGAATCTTAGGTGGCACTTCCCTTTGTGATTTTCATAATTTTGCTATCTGGGAACTTTTATTTTCTTTCTTAAGATAAAATGTAAAGATAGAATTGGTCAGGATCACTATCAGTATTTCTAATTGGGTCACTGTGCTTTAATAAAGCAATAGCAAAATCAAGTAATCTCCTCAAATATAAATTGCAGAGAGGATAATCTAAGCCACTACTGATTGTAGCCTGTCAAAATGGAAGCAATACTAATCGTATTTACACAATTTTAAAAGTATTGAAACAAAACAAATAAACGCCCCCCCCCCCCCTTCCCCCGGACCTTCACAGAAATCAAGTCCTGAATCTTACTTAACACTAAACTTTCTTCATGGCACCTTAGGGGCTCTTAATGCAAATGAGAACTAGGTATACAGATACTTGGTGCACAAATGCATATCTCTAAAGAAACAAGCACAAATAAAAGTAGAGGGTGAGGGGAAGAGAAAGAAACATATCTTTGTGTGAACACTTTAGAGTTTGCAACATGCTCATATAACACAATGAGGGTGGGCCAGCTGGCTGTAAAATAACCTAGACAGATAAATTAATCAGTAGTATGCTCTGTGTGCCACCAACTGTCCTGTGACTAATAAGTTAGTTTTCTACTTCGGCAGGTTCCATGAGTTTACTTGTAGTTTGAAGAAGAGAGCTGGAAGAAAACGGTCAGGTTTTAAAAGGGGTTTCGTTAGGGGGGCTCTGAAATGAAAACTTGCATGTGGACCACTACTTCCCAGACTCTGCAGTCCCACAGTTTAATTCCAGTGGCTTAGAGCTCTTAATCAAGATCTGCCTTCAACTCTGCCTGCTGCCAGTTAGTACTGATAAAACTCTAACTTGCCTTCTCATTGTCTAAGTGGTGACATTAGGACTTTCATCAAAGCAAAGAAATTAGAAGCACGTAGCAGACTCAGCTTCATTTAACCGAACTCCATGTCTAGATTCAGAGATTTTTCTGTCTTGGAGGTACAGGAAGATAGTCTGGCAATAAATTCGTTACAATATGCACTTTCCAATCACTGTAGAAGGTTACCAAGTTGGTAGGAAGCAGATTTAGGGCACAGGTTTTTCTACAGATATTTTGAGCAGTTACACTGCTTTTCAGGAACACATGTGGTTAGAGGTTTGAGTATTAATTTCTGAAATTCCTTTGCTAATAATTAGACCTTGCTTTTCATTTTTCATTAGCCACAGCCGAGTCTCTATGCTCACTTTATTTGAGTTTGGATTGCCAAAAGTGTCTGGATTCCTGTTTTATGCTTACAATAATGTCCCTCCATTGAACACAGCTCCTTTAGGTAATCTACAAAGTATTGTATGATCCACCAAGGTGCGTAGCATGATGTGAATACAGAGTATTAATGGGCAAGTTTCTCTGAGTCAGCTCTGCCTCCTTTTGGGATATATATACAGAGAAACCTGCATCATGCCTCAGGATTTCCGTCTGTGCTCAGTAACAAAAAAGATCAGGGGTTTCCTTCTCTTTGTGTAGGTAGTTATGTGTAGTTGTACTATTAAGCGGGAGAAGAAGCATTTGTACCCTGAAATGAGATAAAGGATTGATCCTGCTGGGGCAGCACAGTCCCAGCACCTTTGTTAATCACTTTGCTAGCAGACCTGTAACTTGCATTCTGAGCACTTTCGGTAAATAAACTATACTATATTGTGTTG